CGTACGTCGTCGTCGTCTCTCTCTCTCTCTCTCTCTCTCTCTCTCTCTCTCTCTCTCTCTCTCTCTCTCTCTCTCTCTCTCTCTCTCTCTCTCTCTCTCTCTCTCTACGCGACGCGATCAAGGACGGTATTCATAATGCGATTTTACATTTAAGATCGTCACAAGCCTCGTCTTTTAGACGATCGTGAGACTCTATCCAGTCAATGGAAACTCCTCGAAATCATATTTAAAAATCTTATTCATATAAAATCAAACTCTCCACGAATACCGCTTCACATTCTTATGGATTTTCCACTGATCTTCACTGACAGCTTGATTTGGTTCGCGTCATAAAAACTGGAGCAAAACGTGCCAGCGTGCTTTGTCATTCTCTATTGTCTATTTCTCTTTCTGACTCGTTCACGATAATTGCACGATAATTGCAGATCCCCAGGTTACTTTCTGACTAATATTTATACCAATATATTATACCAATAATTATTTTCTTTGAATTTTCATAGTTTCGATTCGCGTCACGCTGTCGCCGGCCACTCCTCGTCGCGTTCCTACGTTCTACGAGTGGCATGGGACTTTACGTCAAGTGCGTGGCACGGTGCGTACGTACCGTTCAAAGCGCGTGGCTCGGCGTGGCTCGGCGTGGCTCGTTTGCGCGATCACACGCGCCCTGCGGTGACACTTGATCCGTTGGTCCACTCGCGATGATGAATGAATGACGATCACCAGGGCCAAGGTGATCGCCTATCGAACACGCTGCGGGCAACACGCTGCCGGATTCGATCGTGAGTCGTGCATCGTCAACAAAACCAGAAACGATGCGCGGTCGACGCAGTCGCGATGGCGCTACCGTGCGCGGTGCGGGACGGACGGGACCCGGCAAATCGTCAACGACGATCGGCACCATTCGTCACCGTATATTCAATTTAATGGACGACGAAGAAATGAAATCCAACACTCGCAAAATGCTGTAGGAGTATATAAATTTCGATAGCAAAGCGATAAAATTTTCAAACGGCTGGCGCAGCACGTTGCGACATGCAAGAACTGTTGTTACCCGAAATGATAACTTAAGAATTAGTTTATAATTAGGAAACTTTATGTCGAATTTTATCGGAATTAAGTCATAGTTAGATATATTTTTGGGAATTTCTCGGATCCCAAAACTTTTTAATTGATTACAGCGTTACTCTACTCTATTTTATAAAACACGATGCGTTCGAATCTTACGAGACAGGATTTAATTCTTTTTTCAAAATTAATTGAGATGTTTGGATTCATATTATCGCCAAATTTAACAATAGATTATAGATATTTTTTAATCTAATAAATCTAATAATTATTACATAGCAACAGTTTGTGAACTCTTCTTAATATCTCTCCAGTAATTTTCCATATACAATTATATATTTTATATTTTAATATTTTATATATACAAAACGCTTTATAAATAATTACATCTAAGTATATATATGGAAAATTTTTTGCCGGGTCAAGTATAAGATATGAATAGTACATTGTAAAATATAACATATATATATAATAAATCTTGATCAATGATCAATCTTGATCACTTTATTATTATCATCTTATTATTATAAGTTTGATAATATAAAATAGTCTGTCTATAAAATAGACTGTCTATATCAATGTAAATCTCGACTTGATATACGAAAGCGCAATACGAGAGTCAAAAGTGTCTTCGATGTTGAGAGGAATTCAAGGACTGCCTTTTCCGCTGTCGCCCTCTCGAGCGCGCGGACGGCAAAGTATCCTAGACGCGTCGGTATACATGTATTCGAGAACGCTGCTCTCTCGCCTTCTTGATTTATCGTTCCAAGAACGAACGACCCATTTTTGCCATTTTCGAGCGATCTAATGCGAAACTACATAAACCATGTAATATAATCGTAACCGATGCCGACGGCGTTTGTTCAGAGCCCTAAAAATTAACGGAACACGTTATAAACTACAGAGAACAAAGGAAAACGAGGATATTCCTAACAAGATAAAACGAGAATCGTTCTCGGGGGAGGATTTTTTGTCGCGAAAAAGGAAAAAGGGCAGGACTCCTCGAGGATTGGCAGAGAGACGCGGCGGAGGGCAGAGGTCTCCTTTTTTTTCCTCGTGCGATTGGCTACCGTTGATTTCGAATCGACAGAAAAGCATCAAGCTGAGACGTCGCACGATTCAGTCAGTGCTCCGAGTTTTCTCGGGAAGTGTGCGTTTGCCATCTCGTCGCGACATCTAGCGTCGCCGCTGTCTCCCCGCCCCCCCCCGTCCCCCTTTCCATACACACACGTTCGCGCACGTCGTACGCCGCCATTGTTACCCTGCCTCGCTGTGCCGCCGCTCCGCTCCGCTCCACTCCGCTCCGCCGTCGCCGCCGCCGGAGACGACGTCGACAACGACGACGACGACGACGACGACGCCGCATGGGCGTACCGTGGAGTCCATCGGATCCGTACGTCCCTCGCATTCCAGAGATCGCCGTACGCGGAACGTCGCGGGATCGCGACAGGCGTTTCCCTCCCTCGCCTCTTCCCCCCCGCGTGCCTGGTGTTGTCGCGCTCGCGTCCGCGTTCGCCGCCGCACATTCGCGGGATCGCCTCGTTACGCTCCCGTACACCTTGACGCCGTCGGGACACCTCCGCCGAGGAGAAGGTCGGAACGAGACGCGTGGAAAAAAAGGAAGGAGGTGAAAGCGAGACGGAGGGAGCAGGAAAGGGAGCGAAGGACAGACAGGCGAGAGAAAGAGCGAGAGAGAGGCGCCCTGGCCACTCGCGAAGGACCGTCCCGTATTACGTTCCCTTCTGTCACTTTCGTGCCGAGGCCGATACGGATCGCGCGGCGGCGTCCCGACCGATGCCCCGTCGACGGATTCAACCCGGCAACGACGGAACGACCGTGCTGTGCGTTCGTTGTTAGTGCATCATGTGATTGCTTCCACGGGGTGCTGCCTTCGCCACGGTGACGGATACTAGCCAGCGTAAAGGTTAGTCGCCAGTTCTCGCTTCTCCTCGAGAAACTCGTCGTGCGAGTTTGTCATCCAGCGGCCTCCGCGATTTAAATCTCGGTTGCACCAATTTCGGTTTTGAACGAGATTTTAAATTTGCCTCACCAAGGCAAATTGTCTTTAGAGCGCTTTAACTCGTGCTTATCTTATTAAGATTTAAGTTTCGCCTTTGCTTTTGGTATATATACAACAAATTTAAAATTTTAAGTTTCGCTTAAAGCCAGAGTATCAGGCTTTATTCGTCGGAGTCAAGATCTTCGCCGAGATCAGCTTCCAGTTGACGGCCGCTCCCCCCCCCCCGCCCACTCTTTGATCATTATCCCGAAGGTCTGTTTTAATTAGCCGCTTCTTTCCTCCTATGTTTTCTGTACTAACATCGAAAGGAACACGTTTTCAAAAAGAAAAGAAAGTTCGGCTAGAAAGGTTATATTTTCTACAAGAAAGTTTTTTTTTCCATTTGTGGTAACTTTAGCTGTAGTGCCGACAAAAGTAAAAAGAAAAAGGAAAGATTAAAAGCCGATTACACGGATGGTCAATCCCTGACTTAGTGAGTCCGCGAACTTGATAGATGATAGTCCTGTCTATAGACGATGAAAGAAAATTTGGTTAACCTAAGGGTTAAACACCCTTTAGCGTGGGACATGAAGAATATCATTTTGAAGTAAACGTCGATTCGGCCCATGTTTGAGGTACACCGCACGGCACGAAATATAGATTTCGCTACAAAAGCTTTACAAATTTGAGAGAATTTAATTTGCTATTGAAAGCATTGAAATTATTTATAAACAGCAGCTAGAAATAATTTATAGCATCTCAGATATAATTTGAAATATAAACTAGTCTTATAAAAATATTTATAGCTCTCAGATATAATTTGAAATAAACCTAGTCTTATAAACTAGTCTTATAAAAATATCATACAAAATATATAATAGATATAAATTTCTCTTTACAAGTAAAATTAATAATTCTATTTCTTTTAGTTGCCTTTAAATTTTTTATCGTTATAAATGAAACAAAACATAAAATATTTCGGATTTTTAATTTTGAAAATTTTTAATTTATTTTCTTCAGTAAAATATCAAGATGTGAGTCATTTTTGAGTGTAAAATAATTAAAAAAAATAATTTTAAAAAATATTAAAAAAGTATTTAAAAAATCTAAGGAATTAATTAATACGAATGATAATGATTTACAAAAAATAATTGATAAGATTTTATATTTTTTTATTCTGTTGAAATTATAATTTATAAACAGATTATAGACATTCTTTATTAGATATTTGTTAAATGTAAAAAAAATATAAGAAAAATAATTTAATCAAATTTTTACTAAAGAAAAACAAAATTCCTAAATGCGTGGAAAATAAAAAATGCAAAAATTGAAAATAAATTGTAGACATCAAAAACACTTAGGATACAAAAACTGTAAACTACATCTAAACAGAACTGATTTCAAAAAGAAAAATAAGCCTGATTATTTCTGATTTAAATAATATAGCTTCAGACTTTTTTAACGGCACTTTTTATATCTTTTGTTCTCAACTTTCTCTTTGGAGAAAGAGACAAACTGAAAGAGCGAGAAATGTGCCAAACTGTAACTAAGAAGAGCAGATTTAATGTCGTAAAGTACAAGCGTCCCATGGGGTTGATCAGCTGTATCGATCGCTTTGATTGGCTATTCAATCGGCCAGCGATATCCTTTTCCCCCTATTACATACAATCCTCCTCATCGTACAATCGCAGCTATAATAAAGATACAGAGGAGAGATTAAAGGCTAACCGACGTCGGTGCAACCGGCTCGACTTCGCGGTTGCCTTTTGTCCCATGTTTCGGGTACTAGTTTTCCCTTCCCAACCTGTTTCCTGAGTCATTCTGAGGGTACCAGGAGGTAGTACCTGAGATCGTCGAGCATCTTCGTCCTGGGATATCTTTTTTTTTTCTTCTTTTTCATTTTTTCTTTTGCGTCGGCAGAAGCTCGATGAATTACGACTAATTTTCTGATATGCGGGCATAATTTATTGTTTTGTATGCAAGTTCTTAGGATTTAAATAATCAACGTGACGAAATTTATTGTATCTGCGCGGTGTTATTGAAGTTAATCTCGTGTCGTCGCAGCGACAGCCACGAAAAAATTTTCATAAAAATGTATCCCGTCAAATACCTTCCTAAAAACTTTCTATTCTATTCTCCCTCTCTGCCAACAGCAGCTCGTTACACGCAACTATCATTTATTATTGTCATTATTGTGTTCGATGTAATTAATTAATTCGCATTACAATTTCTATTATCATCGATATCTGAATTATTTAATCAGTTAAATTACATCGTAATTATTATTTCTATCAATAATCGAATATGTACTTTGAGAGAGACGCCATTTCGCAAAGTGTACCAGCGCGAATAGCACGCTACATACAAAATTTTGAATGTCAAAGGTCATCATCGATCGCACCCTAATTGGAATCTAATGTGACCGTGACTGGGGGAAGCCAGTTTGATATGATAAATGGTCATCACAGCTATTCCTAGAATCGAAAGCTCGATTCGTACATATCGAGCGGTAAGGGCGCACATTAATGATAGCGACGGTGGCGGAACGATTTTTTAACAAAAGAATGATGTTTGCTTTTTCGAGCCAACCGCAAGCCAAATAGCCCTCGTTCGTTATCTGAAACGTAAAAAGAAAATATAAGAAAAAAAAGACACGTCTCGCTGCGTTTATCATCGCTGATTTTGAATGGTGAATCAGCGTGATAAAAGAGAGAACGGACGATATTCTACCTGAGATATAATCGTGAGCATTACGTCATGAAACTGAAGCGGATCGTCTGGCATTTATTTACTTTACTTTTTATTTGTTCAATGGCCAGCCAGGGTAACCTTAGAGATCAATAACTGGATCGCATTTAAGATAAATATAATGCAACGTGGTAACATCCAACGTGCGAGTCTCGCTAAACAGAAGAGAATTCGATCCGTCGCGTATCACGAAACGTGCGTTTCTGAGAGAGAGAGAGAGAGAGAGAGAGAGAGAGAGGAGGGAGGGGAGGGGGGTAGGGTTAGTA